TGGAAACTGTCAGGTCCTACGTGCGTAGTGGGGGTCAACACGTGGTCCCAACTTGGATTGATTCCTCCGAACTATCAGGAGGATATGGATGCAGTATTTTTGGGTTCAATAGGACCCCATAATATTCGGGGGTGTTGAGTTTTATCCCTATGAGGAGGATGCTCGTGAGGTCCTTTTGGCCGTCATTGACCCTCCTCGTCAGTCGTAGGGGTTGTCCCCAAAGGACTTTTCTTGGTCGACGAGAAGAGTGGATGATTCATGGGTTATTGGTCCTCCTCTCCATTCATGGGTTATCCCCGTAGGTCAAATCCAGGTCGGCCAGAAGACTGGAGTTACTGGCAGACATGGTCGAGGGCAGACTCTTCCTGCTGGCCTTCTCGTGTAACGTAGTTGGATTGGGCCTTGTATGATTTTTGGGCCAAGTGCAAGCCCAATCCAGAACACAATCATATCATATTATTTTTTTAAAATTAAAAATATAATTAGGTTGGATATACTTCATAATTAATTGATAGTGTAAAAATATTTTACCCGATTAATGCATACTCTTATTTCTCATAAAATAATCTATTTGTAACTATTCATTTTCATTATGTTTTTGATTGCAAAATTAAGATTTTGAGTGCTCCCTAGATAATAAAATAATGTTTTCATAATCAATTTTGTTTGATTTTTTTTAAGAAGTCAAAAGTAAGATTATTTAATATATTTTTAAACACAGTAGTTTGAAAATGAGTTTTTTTAATAATTTTAATTTTAAAAAACTTTTTTTTTTACAAATATAACATTAACGCTAATATTTCGGTTGAAAACAGAAAACAAGTAGTTAATTGATGATGTTCACTAAAGGTCTTTGGTACAATGGTAAATGTGTCCAATAGTCAGGTGATATAGTTGTAAGGTTAATACTCCAACGTACAAGTCAATATAGTAAGTAAGTTGAAACTTGCAAAAATGTAATGAATTGTCCCTTGGTGTCATTTGTAAGGTTAATACTCCAAGGTACAAGTCAACAGAGTCATATAGTTGAAACTTACAAAAATGTAATGAATTGTCCCTTGACGTCGTCTATGGTGAATACAATGTCTCATGCAGAGGATCGTTGGATGAACCCGATGGTTGAGATGGAGTGAGGTATTTCTTCGATGTGAGACTCTCCATCGATAGCACCTATTCATCAACTTAACATGTGTGGTTGGTGGGCTGGACCGATTATTGAGTCATTCAGCCATCCTGAAATAGTTGCCCCCAAAGTTCTCGCTATTAGACTTGAAGCTAGGATTTGTTCCTTGGAAGTGTTGTGACCGGCCATAAGGGAGTTCCTCTCTCAAGATGCCTTCTTGTTGAAAAAATTCTCTGGGGAGAAGTAGAGATTCCATTGAGAAGTTGAGTGAGAGTCGGTAGCCTCGAAAATATGCATTAAATGCTTGTCTCGTCACTAAAAAGTTTCTACGGAGAGAACCTCTATATGAAATTAGGCACATATGGTGTGGAAGAGATGACCTTTGTAGGGTGTGTTAGTGTACTCGAGTGCCTTTATGATATCGAGGTTGTATTTGGACCATTGATCGTGACCTTTGATGTTTCCCTCCTCCTTGACTGTGGATCTTGGTGCTCTAGATTGTCCATAAATTGGGGGCGTGCAATCAATTATCCAGTTATCTTTCTTTGTTTCAATATTATAACTTATTTCCCCTTCCCCACGATAATCATTTCTCATAAATCTTCTTAAGTTCTTTTAATCTTTGTTTTTCAACAATCATTCTTCGTTCTTTTGATCTTTATTCTCATGGGTCTCTAGAGATTTCTCTTCCCAATCCTTAGAAAACAACAAAGATTCAAGGTACCAATATTTTTCCTTATTATTTCACTTGTTTGAATTTGTTTTCTAGACATGAATACTATAGGAAACCCAAACATCACATTTATAGACTTGTTTGATGACGATGATATAAATTGTGTCTCTTCTTAAACTAAAACGGTAAACCCAAAATCTTGAGAAATGTCTTCTTTAAGATAAGGTGCCCTTCACTAAGCTTTGTGGAAGTGTAGGGGTCTTATGATGACGCGGGGATCCATATGTGGATGTTGCTAACTCAGAAAATCCATAAATGTGAAAAACATTGAAGAGGGTGTCACCAAGGATGGGAATATTATTCCTTTCAAGATCAATATTAGCAAGGTTACTCGTGGATTTACTTTTCCTGAACTTCCCACTCGAAACCCAAAAACTATAGATAAATACAAGGATAAGATGAAGGCCCAAGTCTATATTAAGGTATTCACGTGCCATAATAGCCACGAACCTAGTGACAATGAGGTTATGTGGTGGTAGAGTCCTAATCACACTATCATACTTATGGTCGTAACTTTTTCTCTATTAATAATGAGGCTGAAATGGTTGTAATACCTCAAATTTGTCCTACCCTTTTATCGAATCATCTGGCTTATGCATTATGTGCTCATTTCATCTGCATACCCTCTGTAAGGTTAATTAACACCTCATGCATCACTAACCAGTAAATTTAGCATGTGATCAAAGATATTGAAGAATTAGGGTTATTGTATGGCTTTAAGGTTCTCATTTTCATTCAAGCTTGAACCAACTGATTCTTTCATCAATCAGAATTTGTTTGAAGTTAGGGTTTTAATTCATGAACCCCTTTATCACCAAGCTACAAGGACATCTTCATCATGGGATTTTAATCCATCAAGGTTCATCTCCAGGAAGATTAGGGTTTTGTGATCACCATCATTACTCATATGCTTCTAATTGCTTCTATCTATAAGGTTTTCCTCAAGACATTTGCTTTAAGATCATTAGTCATCAAAATGAGGTGCCTTTGCAAAGTGAATTACAAGATTTAAATCATGGTACAAAAGTGATGTTTTGGATGCATAATATGATCAAAGCATTGTTATTATTTGTTTCTTCAATTACAAGAGGTGGATTTAAGATGAAAATTAAGGGTTTTAGCAAGAAGGTGAGATTGATTTTGTTTGGTTCTTATGGATTCGTTATCTAGAATCATTTGAGGTGCTACCTAATGTCATGGATTAAACTTGTTTGAAGTTTCATTAGAAGAGTGCGGATTTAGACATGGAACTTTGCATTAACTTCATGGAATCACTTCTAATTTGAAAACTATTGGATACCTTATACAAGAGTCCATGCTAAGCACTTGTTGGTTTTCATCCTATTTGTTGGTACTTATTCAAGTATTGCAAGAATTAGAGGAAAATTGGAAAATTAAAGTAAAGCATATGGAGGGAAAACAAATTCCAAAATTTGTTTGAAAAGAGAAGGACCATTGCATATTATACTCATGAGATCCATTGCAATTTTAAGCTTCATGCGAATTGCATCCAAATTTTTTCAAAGCACCATGAAAGTATCAAGTCGACGGACATGGAAATCATTACAAGTCAACATTCAAAAACATTTATCGAAGAAGATTGGAAATACAAATGAGGCATTCAAGGAACATTACAAAAGGCATTTACATCAAAGTCTAATCATAAACCTATCATAATCCTTAATCTTTGTCTTCAATTTTCTTCATGGCCAAATGGGATCCAAAGTTACGACTTCAATATCTGTATGGATCCACAAGCATCAAGTTCAGACCTGCAGAAGCACAACAATCAGAATCACCTCCATGCTGCTACCTGCTACACGCCAGTCGTGCCCTGTATTGTGAACAACAGAAATCTGCAACAGGAAATATAAATCAAGACTTGTGAAGCCATGAGATATGTGCAGGAAAAACCAAACCAGCCCAGAATCTACCCGAAAATAGCACAGAAACCTGCAAATAAACCGCAACACTGTGACATTGCATTATCCAAACAATTCATGACAGAGAGTTTGTAAACTAAAAACATATACAAACAGCTCAGCAAAGAATTAACAGAAATCCCTAACTAACTTCTAACCGCATTAACAACTACCAACCGGTAACCCGACTGTAACAGAAAAAATCCTATTAACTGTCACAACAGAAGTAACAAAACAGAATGTAACTAACTCTCACTCCTATAACCACAACTAACTGTCAAAAATGACACATAATAGAATTCTTGAACTGTTTCTAGCAGAATTCCCTAACCTATTCCCAACCTTCCAAAACAGCTTATACGAGAACCAACTTTCAACCATTTTCCCTAACATAATTCTCTAACCATAACCTCCTAGCCCTCTAACAAACTTCTAACAAGGTAACAAAATGTAACAGAAAAAGGAGAAGAGATTCATACACAATTATTCAACCATATTTTCAACAAACCACTAATACAAAAACTGAGAAAATTACCTTTCATTTTTCTGACTTCATTCGTTCACGCCTCCTTCTTCAATCTGCATAGAATTCTATAAAACTTCCTCTACTTCTTCCCTTAATATTCATCTTCCATCAACAACAAAAAACATAGAAATCTCTTTGTGCTATCTCTCTGCTTCCTTTCTCATCTTTCAACCTTACTCATCTTCCCTGCAAAGATCCTTTAACCTCTGAACCATTATTCACTCTGTAAGGTCATCTTTATCACCTCTCTCCTTGAACGTTCGACCTTCACACATACTACCATCGCTCACGGAAAATCAGAGAAAACTTCTCGGCAAAACCAGAACTTCCTCTCTGCACTCTTCCTCCGAGTCACTGCAATAACCACAACAATTTAATCATCTTTGGAGATTTCTTCACAGTATCATCTTCATCGCATCATCACTACAATATCTCAAATCCGTTTTACGAACTTCGATTGCAAATCATTTCAACATCGTAACAACAACTTCAGATACATAGAGAAATTGAGGAAACAAAAAGAAGAGGAGGAATAACCTTAAGCTTGCATACCTAAAATCTATGAAGCTCGTTTATCATCATCTTCCTCAACGGTATCATCAAGGTTCAAGATACTTCAATCTTCCACGTCTTCTTCATTTTAACGACATCTGGTAATAGCTCATGGCTTGTGAGGACGAACATTAAAGGTATCCTCTAGAAATTTAGCGTTGCCACTGTGAAATTCGCAACACCTAGGTTTTTTGGAAGAGGACTTCGATCCCGTTGATTCGTGACAATTTGGAAGAATTGAACGATGGGTTCATGTTCATGTGACCGAAACAAGTAGGATCCGTGTTCATCTTGCGACGATTTGACGGAAACTTCCGGCATATAAGACAATAGCGAGTTTTCCGAATTTCCGCGAGAGAGACGAAGCTTCATACTTGCACACGGAAGTTGAAAAGCCACAACTTTTGGACCTTATTTTCCGTAGATACTGGGTCGGGTTACTCACTCTCCTTGAGCCCATCATCGTTTGTTTTTGCAGTCCAAAAAAAGGCTTCATGATTCAATACTTAGGGCCTAGCACCAGACTTGATCTATACACAACTCTGTTTTTAGGTCCAATACCCTCCACTGTTTCAATTTCTTATTAATTTCTTTTAATCTTTTACATAGTTTTTCTTTTCTATTAATTTTGACATGTTATTTCTATGCAAAATGAACATGATAAAAATTCAAAATATTTGAATAGAATCTTATTTCTTTTATTAATTTTGTTTGTTGTTATTTTAGCCATGTTTTTGGTAGATTTTAATGCCAATTTTGTGTGAGATTTTGAAATGTGAAGAGATTTGGTGGAAGGGTCTCAAGAAGTTTTCAAAATAAAGCTAATAGTGTAATCTTCATCAAGGGAATTCGAGGAAGCTTTTAGTAGAATTCTCTTATTGCTCGCGTGATTTTAAGGAGGCAATGGACCTTCTCCATTCGGTATCATCGCAACTTCATTTTATTCCTCCTTTCCGCGCTTTATCGTACTTCTTTACCGCTTTTCTAGAAATCATGAAAAGTCGGACTTTATTGCTTTTTGATGCCATGAGAAGTAGGGTAGAGATGTATGACGGTGGTTTCCATTGTTGATCATGTCAGAAACCCCTCTGGTTTATTTAAAGACTCGTTTAGGGAAATTCTGCATTGTATGCATTCTGTTTGCTACTTGTGTGTGGTTTGTTTAAAATCCTACCTTTGTGTAGGTATTCTGCAGGCGTGTTTACATTTGTGCCCACATATGTACAGTTGATAAGTCCTCAAAAGGAGGCGAGCAGGGAAAGGTTCACAATCAACCCCCATAATTTCTCCCATGTCATCCTTATCTCGTGACGCACCGTGATGCTTTGGAGTTGTGCATGCTCTTGTGTATCGAGTCATCAAGTGGGGAAGGGTTCCACAATCGAACCCCCACATTTTGTCAGAAGTTTGCATTGGTCGATGCTGATGCTCTGTGATTGTTCATATTTCCTTCTGCCGTCTACCTCGATCTTCTATATCTTCGTTAGGTGTTCAGTCGCTTTGGACATCACATTTTCCTTTTTCATCTCACTCTCGCTTGTTTGTCTCGGGTGATACGCTCCCCTTGACTAAAGCTTTTCATTTCTTTTCCTTATTCTTTTATGTGTGTGCTCTTTCGAGCTTGTTTGTTTTTATCCTGGTCCATACCATGTTCCTTTAGGATGTGTTTGTTCCTTTCGGATGCAAGTTAGACCTTAGGTTGCAAACTATGCATGCTAACATTAGGTAGAAATTTCCCTTATGTTAATCCAAATCTTAGGGCTACCATTGTATGATAACATTAGGTTGTAAATAAGATAGTCTCCCTTTAGACTCTTTTCTAACCCTTTTTCATCCTTGTATTCTAAAACTAAAACTTTTCTTAGCAAATCAAAAACATGCTAATCATACTTAAACCCTTTTTCAAGGTAACAACATAAATACCAACTCAAACCCTTTTGTGCGCCCAAGCACCTTTTCTATAAAACCCTTTTCAGGTAAGGACATTTTTGTACCCCAAAATTTTCTCTCTCATTCTTCAAGGCCTTTCTCACAAGGTTTCTCGAGGTTCAAGCTTGCACAAGTATTTTTGAATTTTCCAGTACCAAAATTAAAAGGAAACTGTCAAAAAGGGAGAAAACAGATAAAAATATCATTTTGACGAAATTTGGAGAAATACAAGTGTTCTTCATTTCAGCTCTTTTGATTGGCCTTTTGATATCTTTCGACACAAGCTTGGCTTGCGTCCTTCGACTGGGCATGGGCCTCTGGCACATTTTGGTTTGGGTTTACAAGGAAAAAGCCTCTTGTAATATATTTCATTTCCAAGGCAAAAGGCTCTCTTTAAACAACCTTCAATTTGCACTTTTTGTTCCCTATTTGCCTCTTTCGAATATGAATATTTTATCCTCCTACATACACTCTTTCGTTCGACCACATATAACCTCTGACATGCAAGCTTTCGATTGGACATGTGCCACCTTCACACAAAGGCTTCGATTGGAGTTTTGGTTCCCTTCGAATCACCATCTCTCAAACCCAACTCTAAATCCTTCGACGCGGTTTTCTTTAGTACATTTCTAGAACTCTTCGACACAAGTGGAAAATAGGATCTTGAAAGGACAACTGATCAAATCTGTGGACCCTGCTACGTGATCTTACTTTACAAGCCTTAATGCTTATATCTCACTCCATAATTAATTGCTTACATTTTGGATTAAGCTATTGTCCAGGTGATTAAGCCTTTGTCCAGAAGTTTTTCGCATGAAAGTGAACTTGTTAAGTACAAATCTTGTCCCAAAGCCCATGCTTTGCTAAAATCGTGTTTGTACTTCACCATAAGTCAGGGAAGTCATCCCCTTTTAAACAACAACTTTAGTACTTCACCTTGGGATCTTTGAAAATCTGACATAGCTTAATATTCACGTTTCAGCCAAGCCATATCTTTATCTAAACTTCCAAACCTTTTCTCTATAAATAGAGGAACCATTGACAAAGAAAGGGTCCAGATTTTTGCTAAGAGAGAAAAATCATAAAAATCCTCAAGCACTCAAACTTTCCCATATTTTCAAACTCCTATATTCCCAAACTCTCCAACATTCTCAAACCTTTAAAACTCTAAGATTTTTTTCATAAAAAGTCTCAGTAGTGTACCTTTCAATTTACTTCCCCTAAACTGAAGCAACCTTCGATTCACCTTCCACCATTATATACTCTCTTTCGATTCAGTGACTGCCCAAACCAAGCAGTAACATAACTAGTTTCAGGAAGATCCCAGTGAAGCTCCCTCCACCATAAAAAAAGGTCACCTACAGCTCTTTCGACTAAGCACTTCAAGAGGTAAGTTCTCTCCAAACTTGGAACTCTTTAATTTAAACATCATGTGTACATGCCAATAAATAAAAATGTAGATATTTTTGGACCATGTTTTAACATTCGATTCTGACTGCCCATACGCTGAAAACTCAACCTTAATTAGTTATAATTTGGACTTTGAGACCCATCATTTTGTTTTTTTTGTGCCAATCCCTGGACTGTAGTTATGTTTGGATGTTGCCTTTTAAGAACTTAAGACAGGTTTGTCATACCCTTCGATTGGCTAGCTGCACAAGCCTTTCGAATCACAATCCGAGGGCCTAAGATGCTTACAATGAGTCAGCAAGGAGCCTGTGGAAAAGTCAGAACCTTACTGACTCCAACCTCCAGTCGAAGGAGACAAAGGCAAATCGAAGAGCATGATTGATTCCAGACTCCAAATCGAAAGAAGCATAAAATGCACAGAGTCGAAGGGTTCCTGCCTGAGTCGAAGGCCCTTTTGTTTTCTTGCCTTTACTTTATTTTCGATTTTATAATTTCATGTTATTCAATATGGTTGTAATAGCGTAGGGTTTTATCTTCCTTTGGCATTTTATTGTATGCTTGTTAGTAAAATAGGAAATGTATGACAAGATAAAAACAACAAAATAGACAATCTTAATCAAAGACAAAACGCATGCAAATAACACACTTGCACACAAGCACCCTTAGGGTTTCTCCCACTTGGCTGCCTAAGAATAAAATGGCCATGTTATGCACATGAAGTATCTTGGCAAAACAAAACAAATATAAGATCATAGTCCCTCGATGACGCTATTCAATGGTTTCCTAAACAAAGATGATCTTAGTCCCTCAAACATGCTAAGATACTTGGCAACATTGCTATCATGGTCATACGATGACCCACGCCCGTCCCGTTTACATCCAAAGATAGGGTTACTTACCAAATCAATGGTAAGTCAACAATGTCAAAGGAATAAAAATGCACAAAAAAGACATTTGAGTAGGTAGATAGCTTCAAGTTACTTGTCCCATTTCAAAACAATCCTTGCTATTTTCAAAAACAAACACACACACATTTCAAAACATTTTACAAAACATTGAAAATATTTTCAAAAGACAAACATCTTTGTATACAGTCTTACGAACGAGAATCATTACAAAGATTGCCTAAACAATGGCCTCTTTTACAAAATACTTTCAAAACCACACCAAACACCATTTCAAACAAAGCAAAGCAAGTGATCTAAACAAGTAACTAAGAGCCCATGGAAAACCATGGATGAAAAGGGTGCTAGCACCTTCCCTTTTCATAATCTACCCCCCGAACTCAAGAAAACATCTCAAAGGTCTTTCCTATGCTTTTTTACCTTTCCTTTTGGATAAAAGAAAAGTCGGTGGCGACTCTTGCTAACCACAACATTTGCGAACACAAACGCAAAACCTCAAGTCAGTTCTCCCACCACATCACAGAACTGGCGACTCTACTGGGGATGATTCTAAAAGGGGGGTTACCTTAGGGTTTAGATCACCTTTATTTGCTTGCAATTGTTTGACTTCTTTTCTTTACATTATGGTTCTTTGTTTGGGTTTGAATCCTCTACTCGGATTTGGGAAACATTATAGGTAAATAGCAATACATTATGGAAATTGTGTGGGGTATACCGATATGGTCTAAGCAATAGCTATATTAGTGTGACATATTTGTGGGTACCAGTAGCCTTTGAGTCAATCAAAGAGAATACGGGGTCGCTGAGTGATGTCATGAAGCACTAATGAACTTCTAGAACCTATACTTGACCAACTTGGCCTTTTAGGATGTAGTGAGATGACCGACTTTAGTGCAGTCTGAAGTTGGTAGATACTCGATACTACATTCATTGGGGGTTGGTTTCTTGGAATATTTCGGTTGCCAGTAAAGAGGCTTGAACTGAAACAATGAACAAGGAAACAATCCAGTGATATTGAGCTCCTTAGAACCCGATTACTATTTTTAGGATAGGTTGAGCCAACTAAACTTCAAGAGGGTACTTACCTATGAAACCCCATGCAAGCCTAAACTAAGAACTTGCTTGATT